GTGAGGGGCCGTGGGTGAATTGGTGAGGGAGTGAGGTCAGGTGAAGTCGTTGAAGGGTCGAGGGTGAGGGTGAGGGTCGAGGTGAGGAGGTCGAGGTGAGGTCAGGTGAGGTCGAGGTGAAGGGTCGAGGTGAGAGTCAAGGTGAGGTCAATTGAGGTCTAAGGTGAGTCGAGGTGAAGGTCGAGTGAGGGTCTAGGAGTGGGAGTCGAGGTGAGGTGGGAATTCGATGCTGAAGGGTCAAGGTGAGGTCTAGGTGTAAGTCGAGGTGAGGGTCTAGGGTGAAGGTCAGGGTGAGGTTGAGTGAGGTCAGGTGAGGTCGAGGTGAGAGGTCGAGGTGAGGGGTCGAGGTGAGGGGTCGAGGGTGAGGGGTCTAGGGTGAAGGGTCGAGGTGAGGGGTCGAGGGTGAGGGGTTTAACTAAGTCGCAGCTGTGGGTGAGGTAGACCAGCCCTCCCCCTTGTGGGCTGAACTCACGGGGCTCGGGTTACCCTCTCCTGCCCACAATACTGACCTCTGTAGTGTATACAACCCACCCTGCCTACCCACCTTCCCCCTACCGACCCACCTTCCTACCCACCCACCCCCTTACTCACCCACTCTCTCTCCGGATTATCAGAGACTCAAGGTTAATTTTATTTCACCATAACTCGTGTTAATGTAATAAAGTTAAGGTAGGTTAACTTTAATGCGTAAGCTAAGTTATATTATCAGTTACGGCGGTTAATATCTCGTGAGTATAATTGAGAATCTGGTTAAGGATAGGTTTAACTTTTAACTGAGGATAAGAGATTGGTATTCAATTACGGTCAAGTTAATTTTGACGGATGGCGACCGCATCTTAACTACTGTAGATCAGTCTTGAGTTAATTGGAAAGCCCACCTTAGACACTCCAGCACGAACAACAAAGAAAACAACACAACGGTTCAGTAAATAATAAGTAACACGTAATTCATAAACAACAAAAATGACCAACTTTTTTCATGACTCGTTTAAACAAAACTGTTTTCGTTTCGTCTTCATTATTTGGGAGAACTGTGGCAGCTGTGGCGTGTAAACAATGGTTCCTCTTGTTTGTTTACGTACGTCTTGTAAGGGGGGGGGGTGGCTCCATGATATCCTGCATCTCTTCTTGTGTGTGTATATCTTATTTTGGGTCAGACACTCTCAGCATGGCATTTTAAACCGTCCATAACAAGATCTCATATACGCTGTGATATACCTCCTGGCCCTCATCAACTGTGCGTGCGTGCGTGTGCGTGTGTGTGTGTGTGTGTGTGTGTGTGTGTGTGTGTGTGTGTGTGTGTGTGTGTGTGTGTGTGTGTGTGTAAGACTTAATCATTTGTAGGTCAAGAGATTGAGGATGTCTTCTTGATAGAGGTCACAGGTCTACATCATAGAGTATACGGTAAAGATATCTACCTAACGGGGGTCACAGCTCATATTTGTAATGTGTGGGGTGAAAAGTGACAGTGGGTCCCATAGACATGACTGCCCTTTAGGAACAGGCTAGATACAGCACACTGGTTACTAAGCCTTCGGTACATAAGGAGGCAGCATGGCCGGTACTGCACTGCATCACCTTCACTTGTGTGACCGGATTTTGGTACTACTGCTACGTATTGCAATAACACGAGTATAATGACAGAGCAGATTAAGTATAGCAAGAACGCAGCTGTACTGAAGGTATATTGCATGGGTGTATCATCAGTAAAGGAAGAACACAATGAGTTTCCTGAAAGATGTGAAATCGGCAAATATTTAGCGAGTGTAAGAGAATTATAGCAAGTCTAACAAGGTTATAGCATCAGTATAGCAACAGCATAGCAACGGTATAACGAAGGTATAACAAGTTTAACAAAGCTATAGCAAAAGTATAGTGAGTACTGTATAGAAGTATGAGAACGTCTATAAGAGGACCACCAGACTATCCCTGCAGCTATCTCCTATATACTGTACTATAAGACAAGGGTTGACTGAATGGACGTTTATAAACACCCCAGAGGACATTACTCAGTCGAGTGTTGATATCTGGAATTTTTTTTGGGGGGGGGGACACCCCCCCTACATCCTGTGCAAGGTGAAGCGCAGAAGCGCCTACAGCGCCCAACTGGGAAGCATGCTAAGTTCATGCTTGGGTGGATGCCCGCGCTGGAGGTCACAGCCTCGGGTTAAAGAAGCCACAAGTTCAGAAGTACCGTTCTTGCCTCGCAAGCGAGATGTCACGGGTTCGATTCCCGGGCCGGTGGAAGTTGTTTGGACTTACTTCCTAGCCCCCATTAGTCCCTGTTCACCTAGCAGTAAAGTAGGTACCTGTTGTAAGTCGGAAGTTGCGAATTCGTATTCAGGGAGTTGTTGGAGATTCCAATAACTTGATGACATAAACCACTGACTCTTCAGGCTTCTACGCCCTTAACTCATGAGACATAAAAGGCAAGCATGAACTTAGCATGCTTCCCTGTTGGGCGCTGTAAACGCTTCTGCGCTCCACCTTACACAAGGATGTAGGGGAGTGCCCAATAAAAAAAAAAAAAAAAACTGTTCAGAAAACTGTTAGGGCAAACTTTTTCGGAGTGAGGGTTGTGAACTCTTGGAACAACCTGCCCAAGAGTGTTGTGACGGCACCGAGTGTGAGCTCTTTCAAGACAAAACTTGACCAACACTGGAGCAGGTACAGATACATTCAGGAGCCGGTGCATGCCTAGTATTTGCCAACAGTGCGTAACAGAGAGGTGACCGATCACCCAAGCGGCTAACGAGCCGGTCAATGATAAAGAGGATAACAGTATAGTGAGCCTATCAAAATTATCCTGAGTGCAGTGATCACAGCAGAGTGTAGTGAATATAGCAAAAATATAGTTAGTATATTAATAGTATGGTGAGCAGAGCGAAAGAATAGCTGATGAAAGAAATTTTGCGATTATAAGTGAGTGCTTTACTTCAGAGGCCGCAACCTTCAAACAGTAATCGGCCACATAAAACAGCATAATTATACAATATGTATTACATTCAGAAAAAAATAAAACATGAAATATTGAACCAAGCCGTATACGATACTCCGACAAATACTGGTTGAGTTGCCAAGTGACCCACACACAGGCTCCCAAACTGCCAGTTACCCCCATGCACTGACCCACGCGGATATACATAAACCCCACAAATAAT